AGGGTTGAGGTTCATGCGATAAATGAATCTGGCAGCGGGAAAGAAGGGACCCCCCCCCCCCCCCCCCCTGGTCCGGTGAGAACCCGGCGTGCTCTGTCCCGGCTTTGTAGGGATGCGAGGTCAATGGTCTAACGACTACGGCATGCACGACTGATGAGTACACCCCCCCCCCGTCCCCCCGCGTATTAACCGATACTCCGGCAAAAACACCGCTGTTAACACGAGAAGTGCAACAAGTTCTTCCACATCTACGCCGGGCGTTTCGCCTACTTGGCTGGCGTGGTGCAGTGCTACCGGGGGCTGGAGCTCGTGGCCAGCGACGACCAGCTCATTTTTTCGGCGGGGGACGGCCTCGACCTACAGGTGGGTGGAAGGAAGGAAGAAGGAAGGAAGGAAGGAAGTGGGACGTACAACGTCTAAGTTTTCTTGTTTCGTACTGCTGTAGCGGACGCTTTCGTTGTGGCGGTGCCGGTTCTCGCTGTTTTTTTTGGGCGTGTACCAGTATGCATCAGATCATCATGCCACGAGAGGTACCCCCCGTCCGAGACCAGACCCACCTGTTGCAGGTTGCGAAACGAGTCATAGCGACCACCTCTAACCGTAACTCCAAGTCGGTTTGTTTCTCACGACGAGGTCTACTCTGGCCTCCAGTCTGGTTGGTTTCCTTCAGTGCCGATAATCAGTATGTACCACAGAAGACAATGAATAGAGAAGAAAGATTATAACCACCGACTAAATGCCACTCACGATAGGAACCCGTGGTAAGGTAGACGCGCGCCCCAACTCCTGCCGTTTCCACCACACAAAAGCTGGGCAGCCCTCGGGTTCGGGCGTTGTACCGGCTCTGGCTCCGATCCTCACGTTCACCCAGGACCCTCACGGCTCGTCCTTACAAGCGCCTGAAACCTGCATGATGGATGTACTTGTAGAAGGAGCTACCATTTTCTTGCGGCTGATGCCATGGTATATCCCAACTCTCGAATATCACAGCTGGGGAGCTTCGGGTTCGTGTACGACTACGGCTTCCCCGCGTGGTTCGGGCTGATCGCCCTGATCTTCTTGTATCTCGAGACAAGGAAGCAGTACCGCCGCTACTTCAAGAAGGGATCCGCCACGGTTCTAGGTAAGCTTTGGCCTTTAAGATAAGTTTGACTCACGCGCCGGGGGTGGCGAATTCGCCGGGGCTGCCTTTGGCGTGGGCGGTGCTGGCGGGCGCCGCTCCGACGAGGGGGTGGGTATGTAGGGCTGACAGACACACGGGGAGCACCAAGCGTTTAGGTTTGCCATCGATCGGTGCACTGTGCGGGTACCTCCATGCATGCAGAGATTGTGGGGCATCGTGGAGCGAGCATTCGCACCGGGTACATGTGCGGTCACCCACTCGCTATGCTGCGGTGATTCATTGCCATACCTTCCTATCTTGTGGTGGGTGTTCCATTGTTTTGTTGTTGTCGTTGTCGATCCACGCGCTCTGAACGATGACGAGTTGTGTGTGTTTCTCTACTTGGCATCGACGGCGCTCAGTGCAGTGCCGGAGGGGAAACAATCAATGTCATTGGAAGGGTGGGTGTTGAACGTCAACGAGCGCAGCATCAGCCCAAAAAAACTTAATCCACCACACCAAGGAGGTTTGATCAGGCTTGGTTCATAACCCTGGTGTTTTTGGCGCTGCCCTCTCGTGGGTTGTTCGGTCTCGGCGCGCCTTATGTGTTCGTGAAAACGGCGTTTTTTGTCTGCGGTGCCCTGGTGGTGGTGCTGCTGCTGCAGGGTGCCTTCAGGTCGTTAACGAGGGTTACAAGGGCGACGAAGGAGCCGACGGCGAGCAGCCGAAGAGGGAGAGGCTCATGCCCAGAACCGAGGACCTGCCCATCTACAGCGTGGCGGAGTTTAACGACAAGGTACATGAGCTACTCAAGATTTTGCGTAGGAACGAACGTCCCTGTGCACGAACGCCCGTCTCAACCATCCGTCAGCGTTGCCTTGGCTCTCCCTCCTCCTCTTCCTCATCCTCTCGCTGCTCAGTATTACGATCGTAGCTGTGCAGCTACTTCATTTTATTTTATTTTCCCACCGTGTTCACCATGTCAATACAATTTGGTGAAGCCGCCCCCCCTCCCGCCCCCCCTCCCTCCCCCCCTCCCTCCTCCTCTCTGTCTCCGCTGCGCCAGGTGCTGAACGGGCAGAGCTGGGTGCTGGTGGACGGGGCGATCCTGGACGTTTCCGAGTTCGCGCAGCGGCACCCGGGGGGGCGGCGCCTCATCATCAACGCACTGGGCACGGACATCACGCAAGAGCTTCTCGGCGAGGACCTGTCCGTGGGGCACGCCATGTCGTTCTCCCCGCACGCTCACAGCGAGGTAACGTTCGGGTGTGCTGCGTGTTTGGGCGCGACCGCGGCATGTACGTACGAACGCACGCAAGCAGGCACGCGTGATGATGTTGCAAGCGGGCGGGGTGAGGTTAGGTGCGCAGCATGTTCACGCGCGGCGGGGGCATCGTGCGTACGTACGCAAGCAGGCAGACGCGATGATGTTAGAGGCGAGGTTATTGTGTTGCACGCAAAAAAGGCAGACGTGATGATGTTGGAGGCGAGGTTATTGTGCTGCACCACAGGAAGAGCGTGCGTCATTTGGTGACGAACTGTGATATATCCGCTTGGGGCACATCGTTGTCGAGGTCTTTGAGTTTAGTTGGACGGTGAAGCTGTAGATATGGATCGACTGAGACATTACAGGGTTGGGGCTGCAACATACGGCGCTGTCTAGGCAGTCCTTCCACCCGCTACCACGCGCGGGTGTGGAAGCGCCGAGGAGGCCCAGAAGGGAGTACTGGGTGACGAGGGAGGAGCGCAGCTACGCAGAGCCGAGCAGCCATGCTGAAACCACCACCTATACCAGTGCAGTTAGGGTTGGGGTTATCAAGTTTGTATGATCGCTTTCTTTTCTGTGTTTCTCCTGTGTGCCAATACGTGCGCTTTAACTCTCGGCTGTCCCCTTCTTTGAGACGATGGTATGGTACTGTCCGGCGATGTCCCGGCGAGCATGGAGCTATTGGTATCGACGTATCGACAGCATCCGCGCGTGTTCCTTGTGCGGAGCCCTCGAGCTGCCTCTTCCCCCGTACCTGCCAGCGACACACGTAAAAACACTGGCCGGAATCGCCTAGTTGGTCCAACCTTCGCACCATCGCAACATTGACCCCCCGGTTCATCCTTGTGAGCAAGCGAAAAACAGCAGATCGCCCCGTCCCGGCACTACTGTAGGAATGCGAGGTCAACGACTACGGCATTCCTTCACATGAGTACACCCCTCAGACACGCCTCTGGTGGATCCGGGCTCCGTACCCGCCCCACCCCCCCCCCTCTTCATGTACCCCCCCCGTCCGTCCGTCCGTGCGTCCGTCCGTCCGTGCGTCCGTCCGTCCGTGCGTCCGTCCGTCCGTGCGTCCGTCCGTCCGTGCGTCCGTCCGTCCGTGCGTCCGTCCGTCCGTGCGTCCGTCCGTCCGTCCGGTTTTTCTGCTCGTTTATTCTTTTTTTCAGAGAGCTTGGACGATCCTGCGGAGGCTGGTAGTGGGGTACATCGAGGAGGAGGAGGACGACAACGGCGGCGGCGACAGAGGCGGTGGGCAAGAGCAGCACCAACGGGCGAGGGTGGGGAGTGGGGCGCGCGACAGCACCGCCGAGAGAACGGCAAGGGATGGCAGCGTCAGCAGCGAGGTCCGGCGGCCTTCGTCGGTAGGAGCGAGCGTGGCGACGACGGTGCGGGCGGGGGACGCGGAGGTGGCGCCGGCGGCAGAGGGGCAGGGGGCGAAGAGGAAGAACCACAAGTTCCGCGTCGCCGGGCAGGCGGTGATGCTCGTGGCGGGGAGGGGCGGCGGCGGCGGCCTCACCGGGGACGCTCTGGTGAGGGGGAGGAACGCCTGGTAACATGGTGTTGCGATCAGAGTATTTTAATTGTCTTTTATTCGCTTGGAGTTCTTGTGCGTGAAAGGTGTGCGTCGTGCGGGTATGGGTGATCGTTAATTGTTTTTTATGCTTGCGTGTGGATATAAGTGTACCCGACAATACCCCGACCAAGTATGCGTGTACCGGGCCTCGCAAGGAGTTCTTGTGCGTGACAGGCGTGCGTCGTGCGGGTGTGCGTGATCGTTAATCGATCGTCGATGACCACGACGTCTATGAGCCCACACGTGCGTGTGTATAACTGTAGCCAATGTTCATCTTTCTGGAATCCAAATCAGCACTTTTTTTTTAGACCTGCGCCAACAGCTCCGGAAACAGGTTCGTGTTGAGCCAGTGCTTTGGGAGCCCTAGGACGCCTTTCGAGGGTCCTTGAAGAACGTCTGTCTGTCTGTCTGTCGTGGATTTTTGTTTCGTGTCTGGCCCTGCCTACCTCTCCCCTTCCCCCAACGTCGAAAAGCCACCTTCCAACCAACGAGACGCCCGCCGAGCGCACTCCCCCCTCTCTCCTGTGTTGGCTTTTCTTCTCTGTCTCCGTCACAGGCAAGCAAGGCGCAGCGGCTGAACCCGATAGCGAGCATACCGGACAAGGTCGTTACCCCCCCCGTGAACGCGAGGGATCATCTCGGCTCGGACCACGTGGCCCCGCGCGTGGTGGACGGGGTACGTACACACGCAAAAACATGTTGCGTAGCCCCTCGAACCTCGAAACCCCGGCAATATCGCTCCGTCCCGGCATTGTAGGGGATGCGAAGCCAATGGTCGAACGACATGCATTTTCATGTAGTTCACCCCCCCCTACGCGATACTAACCACGTGATCTTCACAAATCCCCTTTGCCAAATTCATGCACTGAGCGGTGTCTCTCTACGACGAGAGGGAAGAAGCTCGTAAGAAACTCCTTGCCGGATTCATGTACTGAGCAGTGGTCTCTCTACCACTATGATAGGAGAAGGAAGAAGCTCGTAAGGAGAGCCCTCCCCCCCCGCGCTTCGATTGTCGTCGTCGTCGTCGTCGTTGTTGCTGCCTGGTGGACCATCGTTGAGGAATGCAAGAAATATCATCGGACGATTATTCCCCCTCTTCGAACGTTATCGTCGTCGTCGTCGCCGTCGTCGTCGTTGTCGCTGTTGTTGTTGTTGTTGTTGTTGTTGTTGTTGTTGTTGTTGTTCCAACGTGGTCGTTCTCGTCGTCTTCGTCGTCCTCGTCGTCATTGTTGTTGTTGTTGTTGTTACTGCCCGGTGGACATCTGCGAGGAAGAAAGGCAACTGTATCAGAAGATTACCCACTCCGCCCCACCCCCATCGACTTGGTCGTCGTCGTCGTTGTCTTCGTTGTTGAACAGCCGCGTTCCCGAGCACCTCCGAAGAGAAGCAACTCAAGCAACAAGCGGCTGCTCGAGAGGTTCCATGTGTGCCCCCTCCTGTTCCGGGAGAGGATGGGGGCGACCAGCGCCGTGGGGAGGGGCAACCTGCCAACCACCCGCCCGGTGTACCGGTACATCTTCCTGTGCCCCGGCCAGGCGCAGGTTTTGGTGAGTTGCTTGTCAATTTTTGACCTTTGTTGTTGTTGTAGTTGGCAAAGAGTGTTTCTGCTGTTGGTTGCCGTTGCCATCTCAACAGGAAAAATTTCGCCGCTTTATTGGCGAACGTGTGCGTACTTTGTTGCAATTGTTCCGCTGGGTTGTGCGGATGATGTAGGTTAGTGTTTCGTGATAAACAGACACTAGAAGGGAGTCACGCTGTATGCAGTTTCCGATCGCTGTTTTTGTGTAGGTCGTTCGCTGGACAACCAAAGTTCTGTTTACGACAAGAGCTCTATCCCCGCCCATCCTGCTTTTTACCTTTGACCTTTTTTGTTCCCCTCCTGCCCGCTAACTACCCCCCTTTCTTTCTTTGCTCCCACCTCTCGCCTGACGTTTTTTTTTCCCCGCACCCGTTTATTTCGTGTGTGCGCGCGTGTGCCACGACGACCGGCGTGCGTGCTTGTGGTTGGCCCATCTCGCCCTACCACACCTCTTACCACAAACAGCCCCAGAACATCACCGGGGTCTGCTACTTCAACATGCGGGCGCAAGAAAAGGGGAACGTGAGTACTACGCTTCGCCGCCGAAGGGCCAGCCTCGGCAACGGGCCCGTCCCGTCTGCAGAACGTTTTATTGGGGGGGGGGCGCGCGGGGGGGGGGGGGGCCCCCCCCCCCCTTTCAAAACCTCCAAAAAACGGGGTTGGTTTTTTTCCCAATAAAGGCTCCTTCCCCCCAGAATTTGCCAACGAAGGGGGACACCGGGGAAGAGGGAATGGGGGATTGGGAACCCGGGGGGCCCCCCCCACCCCCCACGGGGCCCCCTTGTTGAAACCCCCGGGAGGGCAAAACAATAAAATAAGGGGGGACCCCCCCCCCGGAAAAACGCCCGGAAACGCCCCGGGATGAACGGGGGGAACCTT